GTGTGTTTGACCTTGATGAGTGAAGGTCGTGGATAACGATGCCGGCGTTGCCGTGGGCTCCAGTAAAGCGGGGGATTCGAGCCGACCTCTCGCAGCCGCCGTGGATTCCATCGGTTTAGTTGGATCACTGATCCAGTTGTGTCTGCCTGCCGAGGATTCTGCCCCCAGGTATCCGGGATAGTGTTGTCTAGAAGAGAGTGTCAAAAACGAATTGTCATCAGCCAACAATCTTCTTCCCTTAGCAAACACTAGAAAGCTTCGTCAAATAGGCCTGTCCGTAATTCCTAAAACTGATAAGGAGTCAACTAAGGGCTACGCGACTGGGTACAGTATTTACTCAGTCTTATTTGAAGAGACCACAAGTCTATGAAGAGAGGACAATAGATATCGACCATTTTGGTGAGGCATGTTTAAGAGGTACTGCATATGCGAACCAAGGTAATCGCCGGGGTAAGGTATGGACACTTTGTTCAGGGCCACTCCCCGTTACGAGATTGTAAAAGTAGGGCCTTCACTTTCTTGCTGAAAAACCATTGTCGATCCGTTTCCGGACGAGCTACCGGGTGACTTCTCGAGAACGGGCTTGTGGCATTTTCCGCTATGAGATCATTTGATTTCCTATTGGTTACTCCTTATACTGTGCGAGTTTGCATTCAGAGCTACTTGATACATTAGAGTTAATTTATAGTGTATGCATGCCTGTCTGGCTTGCTACATATAGGCAGCCTTATCGCCCGTTTCTTTCAGTTACCGCACATGTAAAAACCCCTTTAACAAAGTTCCCTATTAGAGATAGTCTTAAGTCAAAGTGCCTTAGGGGAGAGGGGAAGGGAGGTTGTATATATTCATATTTCCCTATTCCCCGAGTCTTGATAATATGTTGATAGCATTGTTGGCAACGTCCTAAGACGGTGTTTCTAAAAATTTTATTCACACAGTTGCAAAAGCTCAGCTCTGTCGGAAAGAGCCGATTTGGACGCCTCACAGGCAACCTCACTTATCACTTAATTTAAACCTCATCTCTGCATCTTATACTAAGGAGACATCATTAGAAGATATGAATTACAACCCTGTTGTTTGAAAAGTGTCCTTGAACTGCCCTACCAAAAATGCCGTTCCTCCTCTATATATTCGCTGTGTCAACGCCAGTTGGAGAACACTTGAACCTGCTCCGCAATCCTGCTTAAGCAGCTGCCACCACTGTCTCATTCTCTCGCAGGCCTGACTGGGA